CGGTTCTTCATTAACAACTTAAATTGGTTGAGAACCAACTCTTTTTTGTATAACAGGAACTGGAACAACAACTTGATTAGGTTCAACAAGAATTTCTCTCAATGTAGAACTCCTACTATCTCCAAAATTGTTCTCCAAAAACTTAGCAGTAATGGACTCCACAATTCTAGTGCTACGATTTGGATGGTAAAACTTATATCCCTTAGATCTATCCGGATACCCAATAAAGTAGCCACGAGTTAATTTAGGATCTAATTTCTTTTCAAATGGATTATAAATCATAACCTCAGCTGAACATCCCCAAACTTTAAAGTGAGCCAAACTTGGTTTACGTCCTGTCCATAATTCAAAAGGTGTCTTTATAACAGCTTTGCTTAGAACTCTATTCAAAATATACATAGCAGTTTTCAAAGCTTCACCCCACAAATATTCAGGCAAATTTGTTCTACTAATCATACTTCTAACCATATCTTTCAGAGTTCGATTACGTCTTTCAAAAACACCATTCTACTCAAATGTCCTGACGTGGTGTGTTGGGGTACTATTCCACATTCTTGTAAAAACTTTGCAAAATCACCCATGTTTCGACCAGACTCATCATATTTTATTTTATTTTTTTTATTCATGGTATTCACCACCACGATCAAATCTTACAACTTTGATACCTTTCTTCACATTATTTCTCTACTTTCATTTTGAAAATCTTGAATTTCTCAATTGCATGGAATTAATCATTAATCAGGTAAACACATCCATATCATGAGAAATCATGGATAAAGATTATGAAATATTTGATCCCATATATGGTGGAAGGCAAATGTCCACTAACATCAATATGTATCAAGTCCAAAATATTATTACTCCTAGTTCAAACTTTCCTTGTACACTTAGTTAATTTTCCTTTTTTACAATCCACACAAGTGTCAAACTTAGAGAAGTCTAAACGGTGAAGTATCTCAACTTTTACTAATCTTTCCATTCTATCCATCAAAATGTGACCTAATCACTTGTGCCACAACATAATGACGATTCACAGATTAAAGCCTTTTTTATTATACATTGGTAACACACGAGATTTCATCAAAAGGAGCTGAAGAGAATTTATATAAACCATCACATAAAAGTCAATTCCTAATCAAATGAGAACCATAAATTAACTCAACATTTCCATTACCAAAGTTGAAGGTAAAATCACAAGCATCAAGTTTCGATTAAGAAATTAAATATCGTCTCATTTGCGATACAAAAATTATATTTTCCAAAACAATGGTAAAACCGGACTCCAAAGACTACTTTACTATCCTATGATTCAACCTTCACTTGAACTCCATTTTCAACGCTCAAGCTCACTTCATTCTCAATTGGCCTCCGTTTACTTGTGAACCCTTGCAAGGAATTCGTAATATAAATATTAGTCCAGAGTCTAACCACCAAGAATTCAAAAGCACATCTACAAAGGAAGACTCAAAACAAACTAAGGCCAAGAAAATTTTAAGAGTCTTTAGCTCAGATGATATATTTATCATCTTCATAACGTGCTGTCTAGCACTACTTATACCATCACATCTCATATTCATCAATTTATCCATCAGATCTCCAATTTAGACTTTATCAGACTCAATAAATTTATCTTCTATGGCATCCATAAAACCTTTGACATTTTTATTGTCTGGGATAACACCCATAATAGAGTACTCTTATCTGCGGGTTTGTCAAGTCTTTTTTTTCATTGCAAAATCCAAGCCCAAAAGACCAAGTGCTATTTCTACGTCTCGTTTCTATCTCACATAGTTATTCCCAGTCAAGGTTTCAATAGCAGACAATTGATTCAAAAAAGATTAAGCATTATAAACTGTGGAAACAGAAAATATCACTCTTAATATCATCCAAACGTAATGCATGCAATCAAATGGATGATGAAATATCCAACTAATTAATAAGGGCTATTAATTAGATAATCCGTAATTTAAATCAAAATCATATGAATTTTATTATGGTAAGAGCCTAAATGCATCATTATAAAGTCACCTTTGGACCGACAATATAACATGTTATAAGGTACTCTTAAAACACATCATATAACTAGTTAACAAAATCACATTGGCTTTCGAAATACCAACACCTTTGGGCAGAAGGAAATTTCTAAACCAAGGTAAACCCGTTAATTGTCTTATGCCATTTTCCAAAACACCACATATAATAACACATTTGGGCAAGATATTATATGCAATAAATCAAAATTATTGCGCAAAAATATACATATATTTTGTTGCAAAGAAAATCGAATAAATAATAATAAGTGTGCCACTTTGGCAGCTACTATCCATTTTCATTTCAAAATATTTCTCTCATAGTAGGAAAAACAAGAATCGTCTCAAAACCCATGAAAAATTTAATCACAGAACAAAAATTATGCAACAAATCATAATCATTAATTGATGAAAGACAAGAAATCCATATGTAATTAATATTGAGAGACAAAATTGGCAACAAAATTTCAAAATTAAATTTAATGCATAAATAATGGTAATACATAACATTTTAATGAAATAATACAAAAGTCGTCAATTAATTTTATTATTTATTCAATATATATTTTAATTGGGTCAAGTTTAAATAATTTTTTTTAATTGGGTCAAAATTGAAATCTTAAGGTCAAACCTTTTAAAAGTTTAAATTTGTTTGAAATTGAAAACTAGGTCCTTCATATTTAAAATTGCATGGTAGGTCTTTATTTAAGTAATTACAATATGACCTCCAACTGATAATTGTAAATAGGGGCTTGAAGATTAGTTATTTACAACAAGGGCCCCCATTTCCTCTACTGTGTGTTAACTGCAGAAAATGCCCAAATTTTTTTTCTCTTCTGTGGCGCCGAATTTCGTCGACGCCGCACCTGCCGGCGCTGCTTCCATAAAGGCAGCAGCACCCGGCGGTTAAAATAGCAGCAAGCTATTGCGTTTTCTCGGCGGCACTGCTGTTGTTGTCCCACCGACGAGCAGCGGAGGCCGACGCCGCCGATTGTGACTTCCAATGCCTAAAAAAATAATACCCAATAGACAACATTCAACATCCAACAGTGTTCAATTACAGATTCAAATTAGCAAGGTTTTCAAAACTTTAATATGGGTGAACACAGGTTGCATTCATGGTGGTGTTTCAAGGGCTTGCTATGGTGGTGGGGGGAGACGGAAGAAATTGGTGGTTTACAGATTTGGTTTTTTCCAAATTTCTAGGGAACGAAACGGGAGCATTCTGGGTCTATTTTCTTATGCATATACATAATACAGGGTCGGCCCTGGCCCAAGGCAAGTGAGGCCATTGCTTTAGGCCTCATATTTTAGGGGCCTCTAAAAAGCCCAAAACCATCCACTTCATTAAAAAAAAAAATTGAATTTTGCACATAAAAGAGGAAAACAAGCAGACCACCTTTCAGTTTCTCCATGAGTCCCCATTCCGTCGGCCCTGATTCCAATCGACAGTCATCTCTTCATCTTCTCCACAAATGACACTCCGATCTAGAAGGCAGAATTAATCCACAGGTTGGGTGAGATCTTCAAGTGAGAAATCCGCAGGTTGGTCCTCTCTCCATCCATTATATGATTTGTGATTTTATTGATTTTAAATTTTTAGAGGAGTGTAAATTCAATTTTTTAGGGATTTTTAGTGGGATTATTTATTTGGAATGATTATGGAATATGGATTATTGATTATTTATTTGGAATGATTATGGAATATCAAATATGGATTACCGATTATTTATTTGGATTTTGGAATGATTATGGTCTATAGATTACCGATTTTTCATTTTTAGTTTCTTGTTGCCATTTCATTACTGATTCTGTGATTCATTTTGAAATGATTTATGGATTACTGATTATGGTTTTGGTTTGAGAGAATTTACTGTTGGTTCTCTCATTTTTCTTTTGTCACGAAAGCCTCGTTTGAGAACCCTAATCCGCCTTTTCTACTTCATCTTCCCATGGTTTTTTCTTCTTTCCTCTTAGCAGTGCCCATTTCAACTTTCCTATATGTCGAATGTTTATAGTCTATTTTGATTTTTGATTCTTGAAATTGAAGTAATTAATTTATTTTTTCGACAGTAGCCAGTAGGATTTTAGTAATTAGTGGTGATGTTATTTCAATACAAGTTTTGATTTTTCGGTAGTAGGATTTTAGTGCCCTCTCTTGATATTATTTCAATACAACTATACAAGTAATGAATTCTTATTTTGCTCCATTTTTGCTCCACTTTTTCAGACTCTGCATTTTCAACCGCAACTTGGAACAGTCGCGTTGTCTACTTCAAGCACCACTGCGACCACCACTATCACCAATTTCAGAACCCTTTCATTTTGGGGACTTATCAATCAGGTTTTATCACTCTCTGCTTATTATTATGTCTACAAGAAAATTTGAATCTGGATGTGCCAAAAGAAAATGAAAGGAAAAGATTGAAAAGTTGATTAAATCTCAAGATGGGGCACTCGATAAGTTTTTTGGTAGTAGTAAATGAACAAGATGTAGTTACTGAAGAAGTGTTTAACGAGAATGATAACAAAAATAATACAATTGAGGAAATACATTGTGTGATGAATGAAGAGGTGTCTACTAACAAAGATAATGAACCATTTTCTCTCGACCTTATTGATCCAGCAAATTGAGGAAATACGAATACGAATTTAAAAGATTTAATTGTATTGAAAGGTCCTGTAAGAGAAAATGATATGATTTTTCCGAAAGATAGAGCAAATCAACACTTTTCATCCATACATTACGTTCGAAGATTACCTAATGGAGAAAAGTATGATAGAAAATGGTTGATATATTCAAAAAGTTTGGATAAAGTATTTTGCTTTTGTTGTAAGCTATTTAAGAATGATGGGATCAGAACTCAATTGGCACATGATGGAGTAAATGATTGGAAAAATATTGGTGAAAAGCTTAAAATGCATGAAGTAAGTTGTGACCACATCAATAACATGAGTAAATAGATAGAAATGGAAATAAGATACGAAAAGAGTCAAACAATTGATAAAAGTGTGCAAGAACAAATCAATAGAGATAGAGAATATTGGAGACAAGTATTACTGAGAATAATATCTGTGGTGAAAACTCTTGCTGATTTAGCATTTCGTGGAGATAATGAGAAGATATATCAAGAAAATAATGGTATCTTCTTAAGCACGATTCAAATGATTGCTGAGTTCGATCTTGTAATGCAAGAGCATGTTCGTTGAATCAAAAATAGAGAGATTTATTATCATTATCTAGGACACAAAATTCAGAATGAGTTGATACTTATGCTAGCGGGCGAAATAAAAATAATAATCATTGAGAAACTCAAAACTTCTAAATACTTTTCTGTTATTTTTTATTGCACTCCAGATACAAGTCACGAAGAACAAATGTCTATACTATTGAGGTGTGTAGATATTTCGGCAAGTCCGGTGAAGGTTGAAGAATTCTTTTTAGGGTTTTTATTGGTGGATGATACATCGGGTAAGGGATTTTTTGATGAACTGGTGGATGCTTTGAATAATTTAGAACTTGATATTGATAATATAAGGGGTCAAGGCTATGATAATAGTGCTAACATGAAAAGACAACATAAAGGAGTTCAAAGTAAATTATTACAACTAAATCCTAGAGCATTCTACAGTCCTTGTGGATGTCATAGTCTTAATCTGGCACTTTGTGATATGGCCACTTGTTATTCAAAAGCTAAATCTTTCTTTGGGGTGGTGCAACATATATACACTTTATTTTCTTCATCTACTAAACGGTGGAAAATTTTCAAAGAGAATGTAACTGGTCTTACCCTTAAGCCCTTGTCACAAACTCGGTGGGAAAGTCATATTGAAAGTGTTAGAGCGATAAGATTTCAAGCTTTGCAGATAAAAAAAGCATTACTTCAATTAGCAAATATTGATGATTCTAAGACAAAAAGTGAGGTGGAGTGTTTGGCAACATATGAAATTGACAATTTTGAATTCTTACTTGGGATGATTATTTGGTATGAAGTGTTGAATAATATTAACAAAGTAACCAAACATTTGCAAACTGAAGACATGCATATTGATGTTGCTATAGACCATTTAAAAGGCCTCATTTCATTTTTCAAAGGTTATAGAGAATTTGGTTTTGAATCGGCCATGGTAGATGCTAAAAAGATTGCAAGTGAATTAGAAATTGAACCGATATTTCGTGAAAAACGGGTTATACATAGAAAAAAGTAGTTTGATGAGACTTCTTCTGAATAGATAACACAAACAGCTGAAAAATCTTTTAAGATCAATTATTTCTTATATATAGTGGATCAAGCTCTGTCATCACTTGAAAATAGATTTGAGCAATTTCTGATATTTTTGGATTTTTATTTGATTTGAAAAGACTTAAATTTATTGATGATGATGTTTTGAAGTGTTCTTGCATTAAACTTGAAAATTACTTAAAGAATAATACGATTTCTGATATTGATGGCATAGAATTATTTAGCGATATCTGAAGACATATTTGGAGCAATTGATGTATTGGATTACATTAAAGGAATGAACTATTGTTTTGCAAATGCCTGGATTGCTTATAGAGTATTATTGACCATTCATGTCATAGTTGCCTCTGCTGAAAGAAGTTTTTCAAAGTTGAAATTGATTAAGTCTTATCTTCGATTATCCATCTAACAAGTGCGATTGAATGGATTAACTATGATTTCTATTGAAAAAAATATGTTGGAAAAACTTGATGTTAGTAGTTTGATTACTAATTTTACATCTCAAATGTGAGAAGGTTAAATCTTATGTTAGCCTAATCTTTCGGGTTGTGAAAGAAGTTTTATTTTGCTATTCCATCTTTTGAATTGTATAAAGTCTTATTTTTAATATAAAAGTGTTAATTATTTAAATATTTAAATATTGTTAGACTTGTAAAATAAATTTTGTGCTGAGGAGCCTCATATTAATTAAACACCTAGGGCCTCTAAATTCTCAGGACCGCCCTGACATAATATACGCACACATGAAATTACATGTACAGAAATTTTCACACGAAAATTTAATGTGAAGATAAAAAAAGGAGGTTTAAAACAATAACCAGTTTTCAATTATGGATTCTGATCTTAACACGCCGCTCTGATACCAATTGTTAATATTTATTTTCAATCATGTTAAGAATCAAAAATCACCAAATAATAAATTAATAAAACGAATTCATACTTGCGGAAGTCATTGTTAATATGAATAGTAGTTGTAATAGCGGTCAAAATCTTCTCCTCCTTACTCCTCACAAAATATTAGCTATCAATGGGGCAAACAATAATAATAATGGAAAGGAGAGGGGACCTAGCCGTTATATAGGAAATAATTGAGTCGTCACATTATGACTAGAATTCTAATTAAAGTTTATTTTCGGCCCATATACTTAAAATTACCACATCATATTATTTACAACCTGTAAGGTGTAAAAGGCCTAATTGATCACTTAATAAATTTGGCTCAAACACAAATATCATTATGAGTCATACATCTAACTCATAAAATAAAAATCAAATGTGAAGCCCATATTAGAAATATTCCAACAATATAACCTAAAATTTATGGCGGTAACAAAGAATGAAGTTACATAGCCCTTGCTTGATCTCCATTTTGGGGAAAATAATGCATTTTGAATAGTAAATTGATGAAAAATGTGTGGTTAAAAATTAAAGAAAAAATTTTAGATTTGCATATAATATTATTTCATTAAAGAATATATGATTGAAAATGAATTTTAAAAAAATGAATTTTTAGAAGAATGAGAATCAAATAAGGGTATAATATAAATTTATAGTGTCACTTTTATTATTGAAAAAGTTAAAAATTTCTATGTTAAGAGTTGAATAAGCTAAACTCCACAAGACTCACTTAAATTAACGTTATAGATTCAACTTGTATCTTTGATTTCTATCACAATCATAAAGCTGCTCTAACATGTCACGTACAGCAAATGAATTAAATGAGCTAAAACACAATGCACTTCTTTAAACATGAATATATGCAACACTTTATATGCTTATATAAGCATAAAAGTGTCTCGATGTTATAATCCGTGGAAGGTTCAGATTTTTAGAAGCTGATCAGAAGACTACTCATGTTCTAGTATCCTAATATTTGCCTTAATTAAACTGTGCTCTTAAAATTTCAGTTCTGAACAGAATCTTTATCAAGAATTTAGAATAACCATGTATAATTACTAGTGCACAAATATGGAATATGTATTTTAATCATTCAAATAAGTTCTGATTATTTAGAAACTTAATATACTTTAATGTATTAAACGACATGAAGAGTAATCAAATTATTAAAACTGAATTTTAATGCATTTAAAAGGGTACTCAAAGAAATCATATTGAAAATTAGTAATAGTTCTAAAGTAAATTTATGTAGCATGTAGGAATTGTCGAATGCATAATTTTGTCTTAACATGAACTGAAAGTAAAACCAGAAAATTGAGTAGAGAGGTCTTGTATATTTAATATGAGGAAATTTCATTGGGTGTCAAAATTTGACCGTCTATTATCAAAAATGTCAATTTAGGACATTTTTGACCATCTGAATAACAGCAAATACCGTATATATCCTTGACACTCTGAACGAGACGTTGTGTCACTGACGAGAGGGAAACGAAATGCACTTGCAACCCTAACTTTCCCAAATTTTTCTTCCATTTCCCTCTCGTCTCTGCCTAATTGCAACCCTAACTTTCCCAATTTTTTCTTCCATTTCCCTCTCGTCTTTGCCTCTCAGTCTCACGTCGGCCGCCTCTCTGTCACTCATCGGCTCCCCCTTTTCTAGCCAGATTTTTAGCTTTTCGTCGCTGTTTGGAGACATCGGGTTTGGCTTCTTGCAAACTATAATCATTCATTGGCACGGTGGTCAAAAGCAATGGTCGACGAGCTGGTGGCCTCTCACATTCACGACCCCGTGCGTCGATTATTCCGCCGGCATCTCACATTCAAGACCCCGTCTAGCCGCAGCAGTTAGAATAGGTACTACACTTGGATTTCGTTCTTGTTTTTGTATATATTTCATTCTAAGGCATTAAGAATTTTGTTTGTGGGCTTAATCGTGTGATGAATTTATTGGAATGTTTGATGCTTAGATCTGAAAATATGTCTATGAATGGGAAAATGTGTGTTATTTTAATTTGTTATTTTGATAAGGAATTCTTTATATTTTTCTTGGAATAAGTTGTGAATTTGTTTCTTGTCTTCAATGAGTCTTGAGATGGTTGAAGAATATGGATGATACAATAAACACTTGTTCATAAAACCTTTAGTCAGTCTGCAATTTTCTGATTTCCTTGTAAATTATTGACATTCTTTTCGGATTTGCTAATGAAAATGTAAGTTGTACATCTGAGAATCCTTCCAAATTACAGTTTGTATACAATATTCTTTTCTATTTTCAAGTGCAAAAAAAAAAAAAAATATAGTAACAAAAAATTTTGGATTATAGTAGAATTCTTGCACGAGAATTTCATGGAGGTGCTACCATGGTTGATTATTCTATGCACTAATACTTACTTTGGAGTCTGCTTCACTCATTCAGAGCATCAGAAGACAGAATTGAATCACTTTTGTATTGATTGTAAAAAATATATATATGTTGTCACTGTGTTTTGACTCATGCTCTTCACAATTATGTTAAGGTTTTATTGGTTACATCTCTTGTTAATAAATTTAGTCATGTAATTAATTTTCGTGTTGTAATTTGTTTATTGACTTATGAAGCTGTACCCAATATATTGTATTTAAAGGATTTCAAAAACATTTCCTGGGGTCTTAAAGTACTTGTTCAAGTACATGTTTCATAAATGGTGATGTATAGTTCTTTTTATTTCGTTTTGCATTTTTTTCTCTCTAAGCCAACCTAGGGCCTCATGTATTACAGAGGCATTATTGAGAATAAAAATCAGCCGAAAACCCTCCCCAAGAGCCGTCGAAAACCCAGCCACTAACTGCAGAGGACGGTGAGCAGTAGAGGTAATCGTAGACTTCAGAGAAGTAGGTAATCTGTTAGGGCCCCTTAATTTCTCTTTCATCTTGTGTATTATTTTACATATCGTTTTTTCTCCATTGTTTTTTCAGTAAAGAATGAATCTGAAATGCAATACTTTGTGAATTTCTGTAATGTGAAACCCCCATTTCAATGCTAACCGTCTTTGACTATGAAGAATGCTCTAAATGTAGCAAAGAGATTGTTCCTTTTTTATTGAAATCTGTTTAGAATTTGTAATGTTTAAAATGGTGATAAGCTTTTGCGAATAGTAACCAATTTGCTTGTGGTGGTTTGACAACTGTTGTGGTGATACTCGTATACTTTATATTGTGCATTTGGATGGAAATGTTGATAAATACTTGGCATATTTGTGGGCCTAGACCACGTTTGTTTTGGGCATTCACATTTTGGTGTTTCACATGTTAACCTAGGATCACATCAGTAGCATGAGTGGAGCCTGATTGGAAGATATGTTTACTCCAGGAAGAAAATCATTTTAAATATTCTTGATACTTGCCTGAATGATGTGTAGATTGCTGAACAAATGTTTTGCTAAATAAAATTATCATAAAATGATCAAAGGAGCATGTGGAAGATACAAGAAGCACTCTACTGCTTTTAATATTTTTGGCATTTCAAAAGATGACATATGTATAATACGATAGTCTAAATAAAAAGAAAAAGATGATTGAGTACACACTAAGCAATATGAGGAAAATATTCTTACAGCTGACATTACACGGTATTTGTTTATAGCTTTTAATATGAATACAGCCATTGTTGAAACATAATCCTGTGTATAGTTTTCGTTGCCCAATCCATGCTAACTTGGGATACAAAATTCTTCCTCCTGTCATGAGTGGTTATACCCGTGCATTACACAATATGTCTCTTATGCATAGTCGCAAATATCTTCATTGACCCTTCACACTTTTGTGGTTTTAATGTTTTTGTTAGTCGTCTGCTGTGGAAATAACCTTGTTTCACTAAGTGCAACTTTTGTGGGATGTTGTTGTTCTCTACATGTGGGTGGAAATCTTGACTGACATTGGCATATATGAGCATTCAATGTTTTTATTGCTTGTCTGATGTGGAAATGACCTTGTTTTCACTTGCAATCCATATGTTGTATTCGGATGATGAAGGTTCGAGTGTCGACAATGAATGAAGTGGCCGGACTTCCGAATGTGGTGCATGTGTGAATCTGAATATGTGTAGTTCCATTTTTGTCAAAGATAGATCTGGTAAGCTAGTTACGCAATATTCTGCATGAGCACCTCCCTTGTGCATGTTATGTTTTGTTAATACTTTGGTATTGGACCAACGATCGACATTTTCCTATAAATAGTTTGTCGAGAATGATAGATGAACTATCGAGATGTCATGCAATACATTCATGTCTGTAAGTGTCCGTATTTTGCGCCTTTAGTGAAACATATGTTGTCCTGTATGACTGTCATGTGTACTGCAAATGTTGTTATTAGATAAGGGCAATGAATTTTATGGACTAAATAGGTTGGTCGTGCTTATTTCGTTTTTCAACCCTAAATCGTCTTTCAAACACGAGTTTTTATGCTTAGTGATTTTTGTGTTGTTTTGTAATAGCATTCCTTGATTAATTTGTTGAAGTAGCCAAGGCAGACAATGCGTAGAGCATGTTCATTTATGTTGTGAAGTAAAACACGTCGTGTCCGGTCTCGAAACGGTAATGGAATATTGTTCAAATGTTATGGTTGAAAATTACTATGTAAGTTGATAATGTGCTGGGGAATAGTATATTCATGCATGCAGCGTAGTTTTGGATAAGTCAGATTGTGTAGTTTGTAATCATCTGTCAGGATCGACAGTTAAACTGTCGACATGTTATCCATGAAACTCAACTGCATGGTTCGTGCTTTGGTTGTGAGCATGTACATACTAATATCTACAAACGAGAATATATATATATATATATATATATATATATATCTGTTTTGTACAAACAACATCGGGGGAAAGTTAACATACAACTTCAACCACTTTTAGATAAAAGCCTATTTAAACGGGCCGTGTTACAATGGGATTCGAAAATGCGGTTCGATTATGACCGACTGTACCACAGCGAGTGTATTTCCTCTGTCATGTGGTGAACTCGTATCTGGATCGATGATGTCGTGTGGGTGGTCTACCTGGAGGATGACGTACATTAGGTGGCAGAATAGGTGTCCTCTAATTTTGTTCGGGACCATCCAGTCCATTTCACGCATAACAGGATAGATTGCTTCACTGTAGGCACCCCTCCAGTATTCAGATGTGTAATACGGTGAGCATAAATCGTACAATAACTTACCTCGCAAGCAAGCAGCATGAGTTGCATGAATGCATGCATATGATTAAGTTGAAATTCATGACAAGTGCACGTGTTATCGGAGAAGTTCATGATATCCGTGTAATTGTATATTTCAACCTGCGTTAAGTTGTCTGTCAAGCCATGAGCTCGAAGCCTTGTACGTACTTTAAACGTTGCCTGCAACTCGTTCTCCATCCTTGATAACAGCACAACAGTCATGTGGTTGCATTGGTTCAACGTTCGTAAAATCACTTCCTTATAGTCTGTCGAATGTGCTCAACCAAGCACGTGATCGGCAATGACCGGGCGTGCTCAACATTGAGTTCAAAGATTGTGTGTTGTTGTTTGTCAAAATGTTGTATCGTTGGCCAAGGAATAGCGCTCGTGACCAAAATGAGAGTCCTGCTCGCTCCAAGTATCCGTAAGCTCTTTCACTTACCCTGCGGATCTGACCTGTAAGTCTTTCGAACTCTTCCAGTCGAGAAGTTCTTGCAGCTCGTTTGAATAGGAATATTACACTTGCATTGTTGTACCGCTGGATTGAGTTCTTCTCCAAATGCCAGTTACAGTACCCATGGTGAGACAGAGGAAATAGGTAAACAATGGAATTACAAATACTATTTTTCCTATCGGAAACAAAAACCAATTCATCTGAATCGCCTCTAAGCTCTTTCAAGTTCGATATAAACCACATCCACGATCTATTTGTTTCAGCATCGATGATCCCCCATGCTAGGAGATAAATCTGTTTGTTGGCATCTTGGCTGTTGCCAGCAAAAGCGCACCCTTGTATGGACCTTTTCAAGTGACTACCGTCAACACAAATAACTGGCCTCAAGTAGTGCATGTAACCGGAAATGCTTGCACCGAAAGCCAGGAAGAAGTAATGAAACCTGTTACGGGAATCAACTTCTATGTATGTTACTGTCCCCGGGTTACTCTCTCCTACGACGTGACAGTATGACGATAGTTTTTGAAAACTATCCATCGGTGTACCGTGTAGCATATGTAAAGTGGTCACCTTGCCCCTATGTGCTTTTTGACAATTTATTTTCACACCAAACTCGCGTTCCATGTCACGTGCAATAGCGGTAGGATCGTACGATCGGTATAGATTATCCAATCTTCCCAAAATATGCTCGACAATTACAAAAGTAGTGGTATGTCGACGTGCATTACGATGAAAATCTACGGAACATGTGTGCACATTGTTGAATTTACGGATCATGAATATTACAGATTGCTTTACACTCGAAGCACGTAACATCCATTTGCAATTATCGTCTGCGCATATAACAGTTAACATTTTGAGGGTTGACCAGCTGACCTTAAAAAGGAACTTGTCCTACAAAGCAAGAACACGAATTTTCGAGTACATCTCTTTCTTGCTGAAGAATATTTGCCGTTCAACAAAATCGGATGTATTCACACTTGTAATCCATTGGTATGTATCCGAACTCTGGGAATGTGATGACATTCCCTCGTCAACGTCTGCAATATTAGCACCATTTGTACCATGTAACAGGTCGTCTAACATCTCATCATTCTCATCTAATGGTGCAGCCCCAACGTATTCAATTGGACTATCGGCTACACTATTGTTTGGGACACTAGGCTCATGATGGATGTCATCGTGTTGTACGTTATGGGGAACATCCGCTGCTCCAAACGAAGCCTCATGCAAATTTGTATCCCTCCCCATGTCAACACTTGGCAGATCAGTTTTAGAAATAGTAACGCAGAGAACAATTTTCGTATGAACAGATTTGTACCAAATCAGGTCTTCATCTTCACGTATTTCGGTCAACAGTAAATTGAAGTTCGGGACTTTGAACTTCAATTCAATTTCGATGCGCGGATTAATAACACCAAGTTTTTCATTCAACTGTAACAGAAATACGGGTAGTGTAATACTTCTCGGCACTAAAATGGAAGTGGTTTTGTCCCCTGTCCACTTTCATTCGTCATCCACGTGAATGAACTTTCCCCCATATGACACAATGAATCTGAAATAATTGTCCATACCTGAAAGATTGGCATTACAACAATAAGAATATTGCACAATGATTATGTCTATATGCAATAGCACGGAAGTGACACTTTCGAATATTTACCCATGCAAAAATATAAGGTGAAAAGAAGGGCGTCAACAGTTTTCAACTGTTGATTTTGATAGTTCAAATGTCTAACCCGACAGTTTCGAAATGTCGAGTTCGACAGTTCAACTGTCGAAACTATCTAGAAGCTTCAGACGTATTTGGTACCTTGTTCGAAACAGTAATGGTTATAATGAATTCTCAACTACAACAACTACATCATCACAGCATCTGTCCAAAAATAAATGATTGAATGCTTAATTAAATATGGAATGTCATACTTAACATTTGCCCAAATCTTTTTGAAATTTCTTTTTGGTATTTTCTCCCTTGAAAAATATTTCACAAATCAAGAACATCATGATTAATAAGGGTTTCAAAACCATTATTAACTTTGATGATCATGTTGTTTTTAACATTTAAAAAAGAGTGAGCTATTCGATAAAAATATAAACAATTCGTAATAACTAATATCTTCAAATGACTAATGAATATAATAGTTGTGTTTTCTTGATCAAGGAATGAAGAAGAAGGATGAAATGAGGGTTTGTTGGAGAAGAGATTTGGTTGAATGTTAAAATAGGGTTTCTACTTCTTTTATCTTTTCTAATTTTTTTTGTAAATTCGTATTATACAATAGGATATACCTATATCCATAGATTATAATATATAAATATAAATATCCATGATTATAATATATAAATTTAACTAATCAAACCATAACATTAATTGGATTGGAAAGTTAGCATTAAATGCTCCTAAAAAGGGGAATGAATGGTAAGTTGGACATTTCTAGTTGAAAAAGTGACATTTTTGATAAAATTAGGTGCACACGCAAATTTTTGGTGCATTTTCAAAAAAAAAAATGACATTTTTGATAATTTCCCTATTTATATTGTCGTTACTGGGTTATAAATTGAGATAAAAATAATCAGACCAGTGAGTTTAGTATTGCATTGTAAATGTGTTAGTAGAACTATTATTTTTTAATTATAAAAAATTGAATGGTTTGGGGCAGTTTAAGCAATTTTTTACCATCTAAAGCTAAACTAAACTTCACGGTCTGATTGTGTTGCAAGTTCGATTTATTTCATTTTTACATTTACATTTAGTTGTTTGAATTTTCTGCTTGCAGGGTGCATAACTGAGTTAGCTCAAGTGGATTTTTGTTCTTGCTTTCTCATTTCTTGGGTTTCGTTTTTCCTTTTCCTTTATTTGATACATTTGTAGATGCAAAACAACATTGTTTTGTACATGAACGGTATTGTTTCTATTTATTTTCATTGTGTTTTCATGCAATTTGGTTTTTTCTCTTCCTGATTATCGTGATTGCAAAATTTTGAGTTAATAATCTCGGATTTTTAAGATTTGGGTTAGGGTTTTTTTTTTTTTTTTGCTTCTTGCCTTTGATTTGAGTTATTTTGAAAATTAAGTGTTCTTTCTTCACTTAAATTGTTTATTATGTGAAATTTACGTTAAATTTTATTATTTTAGAAGTTATACATATTTTTAAAAATTTTCATTTACCTTTCCATTGGAACATGTTGATTTGCTATTTGTTGGCTGATTTATCTCTAAAGTTTGGTGGTGGTGGAGGAAGGAGGAGGAGAAAGAAAGAGATATTTTTCTAATTTTCAATTTTTTAATGATTTGTTTGGACTTCGTTCGCACTTTTTTTTTTCTTTTTGAAAAAAAAATGAGAGTACTATGATTCAATTAGTTCATTTTTTTTTATTTAAATATGAGGGTATATTCATCATTTTACAATTTTTTATTGAGAAATTGGATAAAAATTGATAGAAATAATGTTTTGGGCAGTCAAATGTGTAATTAAGGATGAAAATACCAAAAAAAATGAAAAGTAAAAATGTTTTCAACAATAATTGTGATATAGGGGCATTATATGCTAATTATCCATATATCAACCGATTGTATTTTTACTTCCGAATGCTGTTTTGTCATTCACGTCTTCTTAGAAAAATTTATATTGATTTGACGCTATTGTAGTTAGTTAAGATCGTTCATGTCAGTTTTTAAGTATATGATTTGATGAAATGTTTTACAGATTTGTTTGACCTGAAAATGGAATATTGTTTATTTTTAGCCATAAGAAATGATAATCACGCCTTGTGATTTACGGGGAAAGCTGTGACATTTATTTTCATCTTTAAGAAAGGATAACCACGAGGAATTGTGTAGAGCACGAAGAAAATAAATTCGAAGCCGAGGATACAAATAAGTTTTTTTAGTTGTTCTTTTCTATATTCAAATTTTTTTATTCCCTATTTTCCGTTATGCTTCACAGTACAAGTATTAAAATTTCTTTCATTTACGTTTCAACACAAACGATTCATTTATCGGTAATTTTTGATGTACGTGGAGCGTTTTTATTACTTACATCATAGGTTGCCACAATTTCTAATAATCATATAAATAATCCCAAACATGTTGCAAGCAGCTTTCAAAATGGTTCTACCGAAATAAACCCACTGATATATAGTGATGAAGCGATTTGTATTTTAAAGCACGTTATGAAGGACTGTTAGAATTTGGGTGTGACTCGAATTCCTTATTGAAATAATTGTAGAGTTCTATTTTGAAAGCCCTATTTGGGAGTTGAAATTTATGTTGGACTTGAAGATATCAAAATAAAATTTTTTTTGACATTTTGTTTCATGTACAACTCTATTTGTAGGGATTAGATTGTTCCCTATAAATACTAGTGAAGCCAAAAAGCATTATTGCTGATTTCTTTGTACTCTCTCTCTGGTTGTTATTAATAAAATATTATTCCTCTACTTAAATCTTGTTTCTGTGATTGTGATCGTGTATACTTCATATTGCTCCATAAATCTCAAGGTGGTTCTCCATTAACTGGTGGTTTATTGCCGTTTCACCTCCAACAAGTGGTATCAAAGCACGGGCCGTATGCTTGGCTGAGGTTTTCTAGATATGGCTGCTTTGAAGTATGATATTATGTTGCTGGATTGCAAAGGTTTTCTTTGTGACAAGTAAAGATGAGAGCTATTTTAGCGCAATTGAATTTAGACGATACTTCGTTGGGTTTCGATAAGATGCCAACAACATAGACAACATAGGAGAAACAACGGAAGGATCGGAAGGCTCTGTTGCCAATACATTTTCATCTCTCCAATAATATTCTTCAGGACATATTGAATAAGAGAACATCACTTCTTTGTGGTTAAAATTGGAGTAAGTGTGCATGACCAAAAGTCTTACTAGCAAACCGTATCTAAAGTAGAGACGGTATTCGTCGTTTTGGGACACGATTTTGTACAGTGGTGACACACTCACCATCGACGATGTTTACGATACTTTATTATCAAAGGAGAAGATGAAGCATCTGATTGGAGCTACATTTAGGGATGAGGAAGCTCTAGTGTCTTATGGTGATCGATGGAGGGGTAGGTCGGGGGTGAATTTCAGCAATCAGTATTGCTTCCATTGCAGGAGGAAGGGGAGGAAAGGATATATCAATAAGGATTGCAATAAGTTGCAGGCTAAAGGTAATTTAACTGCAAATTGTGGAAGGCAATCAAAAAATTCAGATGAGACCAATATTGTAAGGACTTTTCGGATGGCGGAGATGTGGTGTTAATCGTATCTGACATGAAATCTAAGCCTGACAAGGAATGGATTTTGGATTTAACGTGTTCATTTTATATGTGTCCCAATAGAGCTTTGTTTGAATCATATGAGACGGTATAGTAAGGTAGAGTTGTCATGAAAAACAACCAGTCTTGTAGGGTAACTGAAACTGATTGAGTCAAATTGAGGTTACAAGATGAAACAGTTAGAATTCTTGGCCAAGTTCGACATATTTCAGACTTAAGGAAGAATCTCATCTCGCTAAGTACCCTGGATTCAAATGTGTACAAGTTTTCTAGTGGATGCGAAGTGTTAAAGGTCCGAATGGGTCCAGATTGTATTGGAGATGGATAGAAAAAGTCTCAATTGTACATCTTGTAGAGACGTGTAGAACCAATTAAGATATCTAGACAAATTTGGTACAGTGGTGGACATTTAGTTTGATACAATACCTTTTGTGATTGGCTCTGGGTCGGTATAGAACACTACTTGGGTCGGTGTTGGTGATTCTGCTTTGTCACTAGTTTTAGCTGTTACATCATGTTCAAATGCAATGATAGGACTCATTAAGCGTAGGTACAGAATTACATATGTTGTTATA